AACATAGAAAGAGACATGTGGGTATCACTGAAGCCGAGGATCTTTGCATTGATAACACCACCGGGTGCCCGAATAGGTCTTATCTGCAACGTGCTGAACGTGAAGACAACACCATCACAGGACACGAATGGTCAGAGGTGTTTGTCCCTTCTTGGCCATCACCAGCATTGAAGTCCTGGTGGCCACCATCCCTTTCTCCCACCCTGCTCGGCTGAGCGTGGCTCCCCCGTGATGGGGGATGAAGTCCCAGTGCTCCTGGATGCCTGGAGGTATAATAAGCACTGCAGAGGAGTGGGTCGGGGTGTTATGTATCCGGCTGGGGCAGGGTGAGTAGGGCAAAGGTTGCAGTCACTGGCTGTCACTCCAGCACAGGCTCGCTGCATGTGCACCCCTGTTCATGACCACTGGTCTGGCACCTGCATCAGGAGTTGTTTTGGCAGCAAAACCGAGTGGTAAAGTCAGTTGTGATGCGTTTCAAACCCCAGAGCCTGGAACCGTGACACAACCTCCTGTAAGATACTACAGGACAGGACAATTCATCCACATCCCTGCGAAAGAGGATATATTTAGCTGGTGGTAAACTTGTCTCTTTCTGCAATGGTATAGTTTGAAAGCATCCAGGGATGCTCTTAAGCTCCTGTATGGACAGCGCCCACAAAGTCACCATAGAAACTTCCATGGTGTGTTCAGAGACAACATCCAGAAGCAAAAACCTTAGATCCCAAGCTACTCTGCTTGGATTTTTCAATGCCCTATTTGACAATGAACCCAGAGGAGTGAACTTTTCCAGCCTTGGCACCGGATTGCAGGTGATGGCACAGCAGCTTGTTAGGACTGAACGCCTGTGCCTGTGATTCTGAACAGTAACACAGGTAAATACACATCCCCAAGCACACAGGCTGAAGTGCTCTGCAATCCACAGGGAGCTAAAGGCTTCCCACTGCAGCTCAGAAAGGACCATCCTGACTTTCCAGTGCCCATCGTGCTGTGTTTAGTCAGCCAGGTGAGCACGGGTTACAGCAGCCGCTCGCCTTCTGTTTAGAATGGGCTGGACACAGTTCTTTTGTCAGAGCAATTTTCATCTTTGCAAAGCTGCTTCTGTTTGTGAACGGCACCCCTGTACAGCACCTTCTCTGAGCAGTCATCAGCGCCGCGCTGAGATGTTTGGATAGGTTGAAATAAATTTCATCAGAAAAACCACAGGTTTCTATAAAGGAGTACAATTGTCCTGTGTTTTCTGGGACGGAGGCTCCCAGAACAGCTTCTCCTTTCTCCAGGACAGGATTAATACACGCACTGTTGTTAAGTGTCCGATATTTATGGTCCATTCAGTCCTAAACTGAATTCGTTTCTATTCAGCGTCAACCCCCACAGCCTCAGATTCACCACTGAGTTTTGCCTCCCTCTTTCTCACAGCCCTTCTCCCCATCGTGTGGCTCAGACCGCAGTCCCGACTGCAGACTACCCCACTCTCAGTCCCCTTTGGTAAGCCCCAGGGGCATCAGAAAGTCAAAAAGAACCTATAAAATATCCCCCACACCGCTGTGACTAATAGCCCTGGTCACATCTAGGGACTGAGCAAGAGTGCAACCTGTCCGCACTTATGCTTCAGCATAATTGTATTTACATCACTTGAATCCAGGTTCTGGTACACCTTTGTAAGCTTTCACAATGGTCTCAGCGCTGGAAGTCTCCTTCCTGCTGCCACCACTGGGACCTTTCCCTCGCCTGTGATATAGTGATGGTAATTTCTCTGTAGCCTTTGAATAAAGCAGCACCTGGGCAAGCCTGTGAAACACTCCTCGGGTGTGTTTTATTCCTCTTCCCCTCCACTGAGATACTTAGACATCAAAGGGAGCCTTATTATCAAATGGGGGTTTGATGTTTATTAAAGCAACACATGGGCACTAATAGAGTGATGAGCTCCGAGCCCACTGGGGGTGCCAAGGGCTCTTTGTCCCTGGTTGTTGCCCTCAGAGGGTGGCAGAGGAGGGACCCCACTGTGCAGGGTGCACAAGCCCAGGGCACCTGGTAATGCCCTCCTGTATGTGGGCTTTCCTCTCGTCCAAATCAACCACACTTTGAAGTCTTTAGAGCTTCTGAATGAGAAGCCAAAAGAATGGAGCTCACAGAAAGCGCCTCAGCTGCAGGTACTGGTTGAGCTGTGTTTCATGGGCATCTTTGAAATGGCCAAGGGACCCCCTCTCCTGGTGAGTGTCCTTTTCCATATTGTGTCCGTTCACACTCATCATCTCCTCCACAGCAGAGGCAGTAAAATAAACACCCCTCCTGCCCTGCTGCACTGTTATCATCTCCACAGACAGCTCACACTGCACTTCCCTTCAGGGTGACTCACTCCAGATGTGTCTGCATCTGCCTTCCCTCCAGCATGGGGCTCAACCCAGCCCCCCCACGGACACCTCAGTCCCAACGCATCCTATGGATGTGATCCCACGCTGTGACTCCTGGAAATAGCCTGGCATTCACGCCCTATGCAGGTCCCCCCTTCCTGCTGGGTAAGTGGGGTTGTTCCCCTCTCCTCTACCTGCTGAGCTGCAGTCAGTGGCTTGAATCTGCTGCAGAAAGGGGTGGACATGCTCTACAGCTCCTCGCCCAGGCCAGGAGAGGTGTCAAGGTGTGTTATGGGCAGAAGGTGGGAGGTGAAAGGGAGGAGGAAGCAAACCCAGGAGAAACACATCTGCAGGGATGCTGGGGCCAAGTGACGGCAACTTCTGCTGCTGCTAGCAGGGAGAGGAACAGAATAAGCAGGGATCTGCCTTCCTAAACACCTCCTCAACCCACCTAACCTACCACCCTTAATGCAGGGCCAGCAAAATGAGTCTGGAGCTAGGTGCTGGAGGGGACACCATGGGGCAGAGAAGCATCTCACATCACCTGGAGCACACAGGGCCCATACAAAAGGCTGTGGGAAATCAAACTATGGGATCTCACGAAGGTCTTCCATGACAGCTACCCTGACAAGAGCCATAGGGTGCCCTCACCCTGCCAGCAGCACTGCCAGCCCTGGCATCAGGAGCATCTCGACCAGGGATGCTCCATGGGATGCAGATGTCCACACCAGCCAAGGTACCCTGGGGACCCATGCAGAAACCCAGGTCCATGCCCAAGCTCTGACTTCTGTTGAACACTCTGGTGTTTCCCCTTGGTGAGGGGAAAAAACACATGTGATGCCCAAAAACTATCATATTCGCATGTATCCATGGATTTAGTGTGGGGTGTCCCTGCCCATGGCAGGGGGGTTGGAACTGGATGATCTTAAGGTCCTTTCCAACCCTGACTATCCTATGATTCTACGATCCACATGGCTCTGGCCAGCCAGCCACAGCCCTCTAACCTCTTATTCCCCTGAGCCTTTCAATTAGCTCTTGCCTTCCTGACGACTTCACTCAACACCCAGAGCGATTAGGAGCCGGAGGAAGGCCACGGCTTTGTCTCAAGCGATGAGCCAGATTAATCAGCTCCAGTTGCACTGAATTACCCAGTCGGGGCTCCCAGCAACAACCTCCGATTCACCAGCAAAGCAGCCAGCATCCCGCTTTCAACCAGGATAATCAGCAAGGACGTGAAAGCCAGATGAATGACTAGGTGAGGGTGGGCTGCCGCCTGTCAGGAGCTGGAATATAAGTCAAAGCACTTTGAAATTAAATCCTCGCTTTGACAGGGAACTAATGCAGAGATTTTAAAGTAGGTGTAATACACTTAGACAGGCATGTGTGCAGCCCGGTGCGAGTTGCCGTGCTTTGAATAAGTGTGTCCTGGCTACACTGAGAGCAGGCAAATGGAATTGAAAAGACAAAAGGGTATTTTGAATAGCTCCAAACCAGCTTGGCAAGATTTTAGAGATGGTAGCAAGAGGTTTTAGTAATAGACCTAACTAACAACATTGTCGGGAGGAGATTTGGCTGCCTGGGATCTTGGATTTCACACCAAGAGGCCATCTCGTGTTGCTCCTGGCTTTAAATTAAGTCATTTGTGCCCACATGGGCAGCTGGGGATAGATGGAGGAGGTATGGCAAAGGGGGAGGAGATGGGGTCCCTGCTGCCACTCTCAGCCTCCAGGGTGGACACGATGTGCTGCTGGGAGCTCCTGGGATTCCCAAGGATTGGCCTTTCCAGGAGATTTCAGAGGCGGATTTAAGCCTCTATGCTTGGTCAAGCATCACCCAGAGCCCATCACCAGAGCATCAGCCCATCATCACCAGAGCACTCCATGGGGGCAGCCCTGTGAAGACACTGCGGAGATTTGCAACCTCAGCTCTGGCTTCTATCCCCTCCTGACAGAAACCTCCCAGAAGTCTCTCCTTGTTTGCCAGTTTTCAAGTGCCAAAACTTGGCAAAACTATGGTGAATCCTCAGAAACTGGGCTTTAGGAAACCTGTCCCGGTAGAACGGCAGTGGTTATGGGGAAGGCAGTCTTGGGGGTGACACTCCCAGCAATATGGAAACCCACAGACCCATCCTGCAGGCTCTGCTTTTCCATTACCCTCAAAGCACCCAAAGTTCAAGACGGGGCTTGGAGCAACCTGCTCCAGCGGAAGGTGCCCGTGGCAGGGGGTGGAACTGGATGAGCTTTCAGGTCCCTTCCAACCCAAACCACTCTGTGACCATCAAACGCGAGAGGACCCCCCCTCCTCCTCCGCATGGCCCCTTCTCCCCCTGCACCCTCAGGGATACGAGCCCCAGCCGTGCCCCGACCGCACGCACCCACCGAACCCTTGCAGCGGGCCGGGGCCGCCGCCAAACCCCCCCACCCCCCCCCGATGCCCTCCCCGCTACCGTCCCGCCTCCGGGGGTGTCCCCGACGGCCGGTCCCGCCCAGGCGGCGGCGGGGTCGGGGCGGCCCCCGGGGCTGCACCCGCCCCCGTCCCGCCCCGTCCCGCCGCTCCCTCCCGGGATTGGCCGGCCCCGCTGACAGTCGGGCTCGGCGGTCGCTGCGGGCGCATCCACCGGGCAGCGCTGCTGCCGCCGCCGCCGCCGCTGCTGTTGCTCCTCCTGCCCCGCTCCCACCTGCGGCGGCGGCTGCCCCGGCCCCGGCGGACGGACCGGGGGGGCTGCCGCCGCCGCCGGCGCGCTCGGTCTGTCCCTGCCGCCCTCCAGGATGAGCCCGGAGTATTTCCTGCGCTCCTTGCTGCTCATCATCCTCGCCACCTTCTCGGCCAACGCCAGCAACTGGCTGTGAGTAGCCGCGGGGCGAGGGGGGGAACCGCAGCCACCGCCACTTGTTGCTGCCCCGGGGCAGGTGCCGGCAGGCTCGGGCAGCTCCGTGGCGAGACGCACCACCCCCCCCCATCCCGAGGATGCTGTTCGGTGGTACCCGGTGGGGCAGCAGGCTTCCATCCCCGTCGCGCCGGTACCCGCCGTCCCGGTGGCGGTGAGGCTCGGAGCCGCATCCCCGGGCCGGTGGGCTGCAGCGATGCTCGGATACGGGATGTTCTCCAGGCTGGATAGACAGGGGCTGGTTCTCGAGTCCCCGTCCCCTTTTTATCCTCAAGTCATGAGCCTGGACCACGCCGGGGGAGGACGGAGGTCGGGGCATCGGGTCAGAGCAGGGCCTGGGGGCTGGTGAGGTGCTGCGCGAGGGCCAGCGGTGCAGGGCAGGGTTTGGCAGGGCTGACGCTGGCCCCACGGATCGGCGGTGGGAAGGGCTGCCCATACCTCGGAGCCCATTCCCGGAGGGGAGCGCAGTGGTGGGGGGCTGTGGCACGGTGACATTGGGAACCCACTGAACAAACACTGAAATCATGGGTAAGGTAAACAGGGGCGGAAATCGTTCTGGAAAATTCCTGCGTGTTTGCCAAGGCGGTGGGACTGTCTTCTGGGAGACACCCCCCCCCCCCGGGGCAGAGGGGATGGAGCATGGCAGCCCCTTCCCACCTAGCTCCGAGCGAAGGCACTGGTTCCTCCTAATTAAGCTGCTCTGGTGGGAGATGGTGCTTCGCCTGCACCCATCTGCTGGGAAATGATTAGTTCCCGGTGCATGCACCCAGCAGACCCGCTCTGGGGCTGAGAACATGGGCCACTTCCATCTCACCTCCCCGGCCTCTTGTCAGTGAGGGAACGTAATGCCAGGGGCTGCTGGCATGAGAGATCCCGAGTGGCTTGTGCCCAGGTAGGCATGGCCCCACAAGTGCATCCCCCGCACAAGGAGTCCTCTCCGTACCCAGATACAGCTCCCGACTCTCCTGCCTTTTCGATTTGCCTCGCTGGAAGCTGCAGGATGTGGGTGGGTTTTGGAGGATGCTCCCTACGCCCAGGGAAAGCGCCAGGTCAGCGGGGTTCTCCAAGTGTCCTACCCGTGGGAAAAGGTGCTCTCCCATCGGTTGCCGCCTGGGATGCGTTAGCACTTTGTCCTCCTCCCCTCCTCCTTTGCCAGATGGAGCGACTTGCATGCCACGCGTCTCCGGCAAGCGGTGGGTGGATCATAGCAGCTATATCAAGGTGGTCTTTTAAGCTGTCATGCTGCGGGTGAAGGTATATTGGGAACTGTGGGAAGTGTTTTTCCTGCAGGGAAAAGAAGCCCTGCGGGATGGTGGGAGATCCTTGGAGAGGAGCAGGCTCGGCTGCCCCAGGATTGGCATTGGGAGGGGGGGGGGGGTTCATGAGTGAGGTGGACAAGCGGATGCGCAGAGCTGGGACCCCCTGGTCCCCAGTGCTGCACGCAGCTGGGATCATGTTTGGGAAGCCGAGGTGGAGGAGTGGATCATGGCAATAGCCGGGGAGGTCTGTGTGCAGCCGTCCGTGCTGGCGAGGTGCGGGGTGGGCGCGGGGGGCTCGTTCCTGCCAACAGGGGAGGAAAAGCAGACACATCTCAGTGCAATTGAAAGGAAGGGGGTCCACTTGATTCGATGCTGCAAAAGTATCGGGATGAAAGGATCATCCCCTGCTCGGCGCTTTTTATTCTTTGCCTTTAGGATTAAGACAATTCCCATTGTTTATCTTCTCGCATCAGAAACAAAGGCTGCCGGAGGCAATAAACAGGGTTAGAAGGATCCCAGGAGTTATCAGATATTCGAGGAATGAGCGTGCCTCGTAGGTCTTCGCGAAGCCTCACGCATGTGGGCTCTGCCCTGCCCGGGCGCTGCCAACCCACACCTCACCAGCACATACTTCTGCTCATAGGTGTGTGTGCCGGGTGGCAGCCGCGGTGAAGTTTGCTTTGCCAGAAACCTGCTGGATTAGTGATTAAGCTCAGTTCTGTCTTTTCTTTCCCCCTGTTCTTTCCTAACTGCCCCCCCCAAAAAAAAAGCTGCTTCTGACCTGTCCGGACTCGCATCCCCAGCGCTGCCGAGAGACGCTGCTTGCAACACTCGAGCTGAAGGGGTCTTGTGTAAGCCTGGCTTTGTGGGGAAGGGCTTGCTCTGGCTCTGCAAGCGGTGTTCTCTGAGCTGCCCCATCCCGTGTAAAGGGAGACGGGGTGGGTGTCAGAGGGATCGCTCTGCTACCCATTGAGCTGGACGGGACTTTGCCAAATCTTTTGGCTAAACAGACCAAGCTCCTTTCTCCCTGGTTAGGAACCAACTGTGTTTCCTCAGTGTCTTGAGGTTGGGGAGTTGCTGCTTGGCTTGCTGCCGATCCAGAAAGCTGCTGTTCTCCAGCTCGGAAGGGATGCTCTGCGCCCCATTCTCGCCTTCCTCCTGCCTTTGGAGGCTCAGAGTTTCAAAGCTTTTCCTCCTGCCTCTTCAGGCATGGAATTGTAGACTTAAATAAAGGGCTGTAGTAAGTGCCTTTTACATCCGAGCTGATCGTGCATGGGAAGGTACTTCTAGCTTCTGCTTTACCTCTGGAGGAATCCAGGGACGTGTTTTATAGAGGGGAAATAGCCAAGTTACTTCCAAAGCAACCCACATTTCACAGGCTTGATTCAGCTTTTGAACCTGCGCATGCAGTGATGCAGTGGAACTAAAGCATGTCCTTTCAAAACCATCTCAGTGCTGGGGATGCTGTTAGGTAGAAGGTTTCGGCCAAAGGAACACCTCTCTGAAGCACTTGGGCTCCAGTTTTAGTAGGAAGTAAGGGGCAAGCAGTCATTTAGTTAGTTATTGAGTCATTTAGTTAGTTATTTAGTCATTTAGTTACCTGTTTTGGAGGGAGGGAAGTCCACCTGAAGAGGTGAACTAGAAAATGTGCTGTGGATGGAGGCATCCGCTAACTGCACGTGGCACTGGGGCCGCTGCAATCTGTAGCTGTTGGGGTGGTTTGAATGAGGAGAGTCAAACCCCATGCCTGGAAAGCATGGGGTACAACAGGACAGGGGTCTTTAATGAGTAGGACCCAGGTTATTGAGCTATCTGGGTATCACTGTAGCCTCTCCCTTGTTTTCTTGCAGCTAAAACTGGCTTTGGAGGATGCTTTCCATATGCACGCTGGGTAGCCCAAGACGCGGTTATGCCATTGCGGAGCAGCGTGTGCCACCAGCAGCTCCCTCTACCCCCTATTTAGAGGGGTTTAAAACCTCCGTCTGGGCTTGAGACTTGGCTTAAGGGGCCAGGAGCACAGATGGGCTTTTAAACCCCTTTAAAAAAGCTGAATTTGAGCACTCTGGGAAAGCGTGGAGACCTTGCAAGCGTCCAAACAAGCCTGGCTAAGCAGCTGCGCTCTCATAGTAACCCCTTTTGAGAGGGAGGATTTCCCTGTCCCCCCCTTTCATCTGAACACCACAAGGTGCTTTTGCAAACACGGGGCCTGATTCTCCGTGCTCGTCCCTGCCAGCTTTGCAGTGGGAATGTCGCAAGAGCAGCCCGAACGCTCATTTTGTGCTGGGTTGGGTGGTTGTGCAATGTGGAGGATTTGGGAAGAAGCATGCCTGGGTCCTACGCTTGCACCCCTCTGGTTTTAAACCAGACTTGGTTCTTTCTTTAAGGTGATCCTCGCCAGCTTCGCCTCGAGCCTGGCTGAGTTTCATCTGCACAAGATTCTTTGCATTGTCGCTGTGACCCTCCCATTTTCCACTTGGCAAGGAACCAGTCCAGCGTTTTCCCAGTGGATGCTGTCTCTGGAGGTGCTGGTTCGGTCAATGCAGCAATCTCCAGGGCAAAACTGCTTCTGCCCAACCCGATACTCTTGGGTTTTGATGCGGAAGGTGGTGCCTGCCCTGGCAGATGGGATGGTGGGTTGCACCGATTGGATGTGATGCAGAACGTCCCTTGCTTTGAGGGCTGCTGTGGGTTGGATGAGCAGCTCTCTGCTTCTGGGGTGCCCAGGGCTCCTTTGCATTGCTCCATCCTGCAGGGTCAGTGCGTGCAACCAGTGACACCCATCCCCTGAGGGTGAGGGGAGGGAGGGCGAAGCCAGCAGCCCCCATTGGAATTACATTTACTTATTCATAAGTCTTGCCACTTTGGGCAAAACCAGCTGATTTTAGCCCAGCAATGAGAACAGACTGGCTTTAAGGGCTCCACCCCACAGAGGCAAGAACCCTCTGCCTCTTGGTGCAGGACTTGCCACCAGTTTGGCTTGTCTGTGAGCACTGGTCCTGTGAGGAAGGAAGACTGGATGGCATTGGAAGGACCTGTGCTCACTGCTCCTCAGCACCAACAGGCATTTTTGCCTTTTCCTAAGGAAACAATGGAAACTACAGCCCAACTATTGCAGCAGAGCCTTATAGGTAGGATGGACAGGAGCGAGATAAAACCGCTGTGCACCCCAGGTTGTGCAGAAGAGGATCAGCTCCAAACATGAGCAACAGCAAGAAGCTGATCTCCTCCTTGCAGTGGCTCTCTATGGCTCTGTGAGTCAGAACTGGACTTTTGCATTGAAGCCAAAGCAGCGTTTATGTTACTCTCCTGGGAGCTACTGTCCGCTCTATTAATTTATCCCTGTGGATGGAGAGAAATGCATTACAGCCATTTATTTGGGCTTCCTTAAAATGATGAAATTGCTGAGCAGTCCTGGAGGTTGACAGCTTCCAAGGGCTCTCCTGTATTCCCAGCCACGCTGGCTCTTCCAATACTTGATTTTATTGCCTTAAAGCTTGAAAGTTTTCTGAATCCCCAAAAATCCCATTCATCCGAGCCTGCTGGCACGGTACAAAGCGCAGGGAACCTTGGTTGGCTCCAGCCCCATGCCTGTGGGTGACCCCCAGCAGCATCCCCACAGGATGCTGCCGCAGTGAAGGTGCTGTGCAGGATCCATCTTGCTCTGCAGAACTGGAGCCAGCATTGTGCTCTCATGAAATC